ACGCTTACGACTGCGGAGTCATTATATTAGACCCGAATTGGTTTCTTCAATGCGTTTACAAACTCTGCTCTTTTGTCAAAGAAGTTCCCGACGACGACAACGCACAGTACGGTCTTCTCAGGTAAGCAAAACACATCTATTAGTTTATATCAATTCTGTTTCATTCATCATATTCTTTATATCAAAATGTATTTTGCATTGTTTTTTAGCGAAAACCTTATTAACAAGGTTTGGGAGGAATACACGGAACAAAAGTTTATTCTTTTGGGATGTCTTGAAAAATTGGATATTATTTGTGAGTTTGTGTTGATTTAGTCATATTTTTCGATTTAATAAAATCTATAAACATTTTATTTAAACTTTATAACACATTATCATAATTCCATAACTTAATAAATGATTGTCAAATAATGATGTGTTTAGTTGAGTTGCGGCCATACATTCAAATAGAGGACGCACCCGATGTGACGGCCAACACATCTGTGCCCAAATTGTATTTCTTTCCGTGGATTACAAAAGCAGTTCCCGATACGGATCCCCCAAATGCACAAACAAGCGACTCATTTCAGGACTCGTCCTTTCAATTAGTTATTGATTTTAATCATCTGCCAGTTGTGAGTGAATTACATTAATTAACATTTAATTTATTAAATAATTAATTCTTATTTAATTGAATACAAAAGGGCTTATTTTCACGATTACTGGTAAGACTTAGTCGTTGGTCATGGAATCAGGGATGGGGTCGAAGACCTGAGATGTATAATTCTGAAGGAAGAATAGCCGTTGACTTCGATCACGACATACTGTTGAAAATTTGCTTAAAATATAACAGAATTTTTCTAATGATTATCAAAATATTCGATGAGTTACAGACGGATCAGATCGAGAACTTCCTCATCGGTCCGACGGCTAATGTCTGCGTTAAGGTATTAAAAGGAATACAAACATAAGTCATGTAACGATTGGTGTAAACAATGTTTTGCATTTCAACCANAAAATATTCGATGAGTTACAGACGGATCAGATCGAGAACTTCCTCATCGGTCCGACGGCTAATGTCTGCGTTAAGGTATTAAAAGGAATACAAACATAAGTCATGTAACGATTGGTGTAAACAATGTTTTGCATTTCAACCAAAGGTTCAGCATTTGATTGAAACAGAATTGGAAACTCTTCGCAATTCATTCTACCGGCGCCTCAATTTTAAACTAGTGGTTCCCTGTCCTTGTGATGTGACGTGTGAACCCCATAAGATTGATGGATGCAATGACATCGAGTGTCTCCACTTTCTGCCACTTAATGAATGTCTCACTAAAAAAGTATTTTCATTTACTGTTTATTAAATTATTTTTTAGATAAGAGTATAGAAACAAATTTTGAGGACGATTTAATATTTCCCTATTTATACCTGTAATAGAGTATTAATAATATTCCCGTTAATTATAGCCTTGACATACTGCACATAACAAAAATTAAACAGGATCCCTTGATAACTATAATTAAACTAATATGTGATAGCTAAATTACATACTTAAACATTAACTAATTGTCTGACAGGTGGTTGAGTGTAAATACAGTAGACAAGTGAGAACTATATTTATTCAACGCTATTTCCCACACGTGCCCTTTAATTCTGGTCGTAAGTACTGCACAACACGTGAAATAAGTTAAGTGAATAACAGAATATTTGTTAAATAAGCGGAAGAATCAAACAATTCTGTGTCTAATGGGAACCGAGAGAATGGTTGGGACCATATATTCCAAGTGGAACCGGTTTGGATGAGAGAAGCCGCCAAACTATTGGCTCCCAATCATCCAAATAAAGATTGGATGGCTTTAGCTAAACGTCTCGGTTATAGCGAACGAGATGTCACAAAGTTTGTGGAAGATATCGCTCCCTGTTTGGCACTACTCCGGGATTGGTATGAAACCAATGGTCGGACCCGTTATTGTGTTGATGTTCTTCTGTCGTGTTTGCGAATGATATCGAGGGAAGACATCGCAGCTCTTATTGAGTATGATTTAGAGCCAGAAGGGTCTGCACCGCCTGTTTTTATCAGTTATCAAAGGGATTCACAGGACCAGGTCTCAGGTATTGCTGTGCATTCACTCGTGTGTACTCTCTGTATGTTAATTAAAAGTAATTTTATACAGAATTGCGTCAAAAGTTGGAGCTAGCTGGATTCCCATGTTGGATGGATACCAGGTTAATATTGATGAACCTTTTTTGGAAATTATAATTTGGATGAAACAACTTTTAAATTGAATTTAACGATATTGTCAGGTCTATGGGCGCCGGGGATTCATTATATGGAAAGATCTACGATGGCATCAGTAGAGCTAAAGTTGTTTTATGGTATTAATTGATAGCACGGATTAATTGTAGAAAGCTTTTTATTATAAATTGCAAATATGTTAATTTATTGTTTAGTTGTCTGACTCCACGATACGCTGCATCGCCGATGTGTAGCCGTGAAGTGACTTTAGCTGATGTTTTACACAAACCTATTTTGCCCATTATTATTGAGATGACTCCGTGGCCACCGCCCGGGGCTATGGCTGTCATTATGAGTTCAATCGTTTACGTCGATATGTGCGGTAAGTTGTATAACACGATAACAAGATATTGAAATAACAATGAAATGAATGCAAAATAAATACGTTAAAGGAGTGGGAAGTCATTCAGGAATCGGTCGAATTCAGGACTCGGAATCCCGTTTCCGCGAAATTCTGGATCGCGTGTCACGATATATAGCGGGTTATGTGGACGCGCCTATAGTGGCGCCCCGTTATCTACAACTGCCCGATATATTCTCACCCATTAGAGAGACTCCGCCACAAATTGAGTCACAAGTGGCCGAAGTCGCTATCATTACTCCCTTTGACAACGAAGAACCGCCCGAAACACAGGGAACTACTCCGGTTGAGGTTAGCTTAATATATCTTCTTAACCATATTATTAAATTGATTGCTATTTTTTAATTGCCATTAATTTTAACCACAGTTTAGTAATTAATATTTAAATTTTATGATTAATTGAAATAAAGGCCACAAACGATGAGTTTCGCGAAGATTTGTTTTCCGGCGATAATATATCGGTTCTCTCCAATACCCGAAGAGGTCATAATAGAGTAACCAATTGTGCCATTTGTTCAATACTTTGATGTGATCACTCTCTCCCTATAACTTTTAATTTTTAAACAATTAATTGTTGATTATTTACATATAAGGAATAAATATTTCAATTTATTTATTCAAAAATTCTTCTTATTGATGTACATGTTATTGTATTTAATTTCAATGAGCTATAAACTGCATAATATTTCACATAAAAGTATATTTTATTGTCATAATAAATATTTTTTGTTAAATAAATCATAAATTATAAAAGTTATATAATTTATAACCATAAAAATATATGTACAGGGTGTACATTATTGGACTCCGCAAAAGTAAACTCGAATATCTCGAAAGGTATTCGGTCTAGAAAATTAAATAATATATCTAAATAGTCATCAACTGCGGGAGTTTTTGTTATGATATGGTCAATATGCTTGACTTCGTATTATAGAAGTAATCTCAAAACAACCAAATTTTTGCCATTTTGTCCATAGACATAATGTTAAATTCAAACTTATTTTTGAGCAAAATCCTGAAATAGGTATCAAGTTATTTTTGCTCCTATTTAAGATTATGTAATCAAAATTTTTGTGCTGTATGTAGTTTTTAGTTAATTAATGATTTTTCAATATTTCAGATATATAATGTTGTTTTAAAACTTTTGCGTGTCGGATTTTGATCACCATTTGGGAACAGCTGAAGTGACAATATTGTCACTTCACACATATATAGTTCCATGACCCGTAATGTTTTGCACATACAAATATTTTTGGTCACGTGACAATATTAATGTGAAAATGGACCATTCGCGAGACTATGGACAAAATGGCAAAAATTTGGTAGTTTTGAGATTATTTCTAAAATAGGAGGTCAAGCATATTGACCGTATCATAACAAAAACTCCCGCAGTTGATGACTATTTTGATATATTATTTAATTTTCTAGACCGAATACCTTTCGAGATATTCGAGTTTACTTTTGCGGAGTCCAATAATGTACACCCTGTACTTCAAAAAACAATGTTACAATTTATAATTACTCCTGTATTTATTTATATTTATCATTTTATAGTGCATAGCCTCTCTCTCCCTCTCTCTCTCTCTCTTTATTTCTTTCTTTCTTTCTACTAAACTCTAAAGTAAAAAGTATATGTAAATTAATTAAACGATCGAGATCTCATAGATGTAATAACAGATTGATGTTGTGCAATATTAATTACGTTAATATTATTATTTGTTTTATAAAAATTAAAAATATTGTACTTTTTATACAAGTCTCGTAAAGTATTGGTCAACAATAGTATAGAGTAGCCAAACCATAGGCCCAATAGACTGCCCAAAAAGCACAGGTACTCTTCGATAGACATTTTCAGACTAATAGTGTATATCACTTCGGGCTCCGCCGGTATCTCAAATATGATGCGAAAATTGTGGTCATTGTGTAAATAATAATTGACCAACATGGTTTTCATTGTATAATAATGTTGTACGCACTCCACACGTTGCAAACACTGGCGCTCGCATTCATTCTCTAAACTAGTGTTGTATACATCAGTAAAATAAATGCTTTTATTATTGTTTAGTAAATAGTTTTCATCATGATACAAATAGTAGTCGGGTATTGCCGAATATATTTCAATGTACTTTTTAATTTTGCATTCATGAACGCAATTCTCACGCGATTGGTCGTTTTCAAAACACGCAGTATTTTGTTTAATTTTATACTTATATATAATGCTGGTTTTTCTAAATTTGACATGACACGTATTGCTTTTGCTCATATTTAAATATGCCGATCCCTTTTTATAATAAGTGTATATTTGTTCCCCTCGTGAATGTAGGTTAAGTTTGACTAATTGAGTACTTAAAACGCTTTTATTAAGTATATCAATTTGTGCATTAAATTGGGAACTAGGTGCATTCTTTCTAATATTTAATTCGTGTTTAACTTTTGGTTTGTGTGTCCAGTGTGTAAATAGCGTCAGACAATAACGATCATCATTGTTGATCGTAGGAATATACTTGGTAACATTTGTACAAGAGTGAAGTTCTTCATTTGCATTAATTACAATACATTTTAATAGTACTGTGGGTTTAATTAATGCTTTCAATTGATCGCGTAATGATAAGCGGCCAAAAGCGGTCACATTGTGGTTAGTTTTGTCAGATATCATATCTGTTTTGTTTACACATAGCGTTACGGCAGGCACTCGCCGTATAGACTGTAAGTCAAACTTAACATCAGTAGTGGTTTCGTACGAGAAGTATATGAAACTTATTTCCAGCATTTGATACAAACATCCCGTAAAACATATCAAAAATGATATGGTTGTAAACATTTTGTGTTGTATATTGAAAATCATGTTTAGTAAATCATCATCTAAAATGCTGTAATTATCAATTTATATTATATAAAGTTAAATAATTAATATAACTCTTATATCTATGGTATTACTAAAAAGATATAAATAATATGTTGGACAATAATTTATTGAATTTAATTAATTTTTATTGAATTATCATCTTTTTAATAAAATCAAATTAATAAAAATTAATACTAAAAATATTTGTAAATCTTTATATCACTATTACACACAATATAAACATAAGTCTTTATATTATTTTATTTTGCCAGTTTTCTTTCTTTTTTCAATATATTGTATTCAATATATTATTTATATGTTGTATTCAATGCTAAATATTATAATAGAATCATCATTACATGTGTAGTAGTAATAAATATTTAATTTTGAGACAACATTAATATAAATATAACTTTCTGTAATTAAATCTAATATAAGAATATTTTGTTATTATTCAAAAATAATCATTGTAGATAGAATAAAATATTGATTTTTATTCCGGTCGATTATTTTAATAACTTTCTATTTAATGTTTTAATTAAAATACAATTTAATTTTTTTATTGTTTTATTTGTTATAATAATTAATAATTTTTGTCATACATTTTATTGCATAAATAAAAGTTGAGCATAATGTTTAAATTATTTAACTTAACACAAATTTTAAGGTTCATAAAAAGGCTCACATTGATCAGTGTAACATTTTTTATTTGCTGGACAACCGCCGGGACAGTCGCCAATTGCCACATTTATTAGCATGGAGCTTATCACCGCCACAATCAGCAACATAGTCATCACATTCATTATCATGGTCATTTTGTAATTTGGCCTAAAATATTATACATAAAAGTATATTAAATACAACATTAAAAATACAATACCTGCTGACAAGTTAAATGCAGTTTAAACTAAACGCAATAATAATGATAAAAATAATTTAAGTGTTGGCTGGTATTATAGCAAAATGTTTGTTTAGATCCTGACTATGCACATTTTATATTTATTTCTACACTGATCATGTATTATCTAGTCCTTCAACAAAACTCCGCCACTCTGTTTTTCTTATTACTCCTAAACGAAATGAGCTAGATCAAATCTGTAAAATGCATAATGATGGTCCATATATCTAGTATTTTT